TATTTCTTTCTCACAATAAATTAGCTTCAGCCGACTTTAATACCAGTCGAACGGGCCCTGGGGGTTGCAGGAAAGCTGCATTCCCCCATGACAGTTTGTGAAGGAAATTAAATAGGATAGGAAACACAAGTGGTAGCAATTTGTGCCAATTGTGATTGTATATGAAGCAGAAAATCAGAGCAATTAGACAACAAAATTGATTCGGTAGTGAACAGGTAAAATCTATATCATCTCATAAAGAAAAAGGAACAATCAAAACATCACGCACCTATTTTTTCCATCTCAAATATTCAGATATCTTTTTCATTCTGGAAAGACTCGCACTTGCTTCAATTAGTTTCAATACTTCTTCATTGCATTATAGTGTAAGCAACATCTATGTAAGGAACATCTATGTGTTGCTTTCTTTGTAACAAATCATCACACTTCTTCGTTGCATTATAGTGTAAGCCACCAACCTCACCAATATGTGACCTTAGCCTTTCTTTCTATGATAACCATTCCAGCCGTTAACAACAAATGCATCATATCCTGCATCTTTCTTTTCTCTAAACAAGAAACAATAAAAACAATATGCTCTATCCTTTGCCTCATTATATTCAAGCCAAGGACCAAACTCATCAAACCATTCTGGAATAAATCTTCTCAGCTTCTTTTTCTCTCCGATCTGTGCAATAGGAAAATCACACGTACGAGGCTGGCATGGTCCATTCTCTAAGTATTTTCCTCTCACTTTTCTCTCACGTTAGGATGGTAAGCATCAATTTCTTTCCTCAAACCGGTGTCATATTTAATCTCCTCATCCCAATTGATTTCATCTGGACATGAAGTTCTATTAGCATCGATCGTGTCTTGAGCTTTCCGTTTATAATACCTCTCCATGATTACCTAAAATTCAATCATATGCATGAAGGATAATCAAATTGCAGTTCACGATTTCAAAGATAAATAATTTGATTGGGCATTAAATTGAGGATAAAAACTCACTGGACAAGGACTCGATGGAGTGGCCGAGTGGAGCGATCGGACGACCAGCGGCCAGCCGGACGGCCAGGCGGCACGGTGGCACGCGGAGTCGGCGAGCGCGAGTCGCCGTCAGTTCGCCGTCGCGGACAGCAGACACAGGGCGCAGGGCGGCAGGGGCGCGGCTTGACGCTTGGAGTCAGAGTCGGAGTGTCAGACAGCTTGGAGATTGGACGGCAACGCCACAGGTTTGCAGGGGCGCGCGGCGCGGCTTGACGCTTCAGCTGGATGGAAACCCGCGGAAGGAAGCCAGGAACCGCGGCCGATGCAATTCGAGCGAGGCTGCGAGGGAGCGACGCTTCAGCTGGATGGAAACCTGGCTACGACGTGGGCTTCTTTGCCTTCTTGGGCTGCAGGGGGTGCCTCATCTTGGGCCATGGGGGGTGCCTATAGGGCCAAAACTTTCTAGTCCTCAAGAAATTCTCAAAATGCAGGGGGTGCCTGGGCACCCACGGTCTTGCAATGGGCTTCGCCCCTGTTAACAGGCCGCACTTTTGTTGGGCCGAGACTCAGCGTGTGGGTGGATAGAACTGTGGGAGCCTCGTGCTCGAGTTCACCCACGGATTGCTGCGGACGAGATATGGCTGACTGCCGAGTTCAGTCGACGAAGGCGACGTCAGGCGATCTGATTCCGCCTATATATGCTACTAGCTCATCAGCTAACATGCACAGACAGATATGTATGCAGCAGAATTAAAGCAGCTTTACATGAAAACAGCAATCTAATCAGCTTTGTTTTGCCACACTAAGCCTGTATTATATTGCCTAATGCAAGCTAATGGTGATTACTTCACACAATTGCCGAACAATATAAAATATCGCTGCTTAGCCGCATGCTACATTTGGGAAGCAGTATTGCCTAGCACTAGTTGCTGCTGGTCAAGTTTTGGAGACCACAAGGCTTTCTTTATTGTAAAGGAGATGCATTGCGGCATTAGGGCTGAGATGCTGAGTCAGCTATGTGTACGTGCAGATGCTTTACTGTGTTTTTGTCGGCTTGACCTCAGATTGTCACTCACCAACAGCTGTAGAGTGATGGTGAAAATCTGTCGTTGCATGCTGATTGTAGTTGAAGGGTTAAATGATGTCAGCTCACCATTCTTCTTGCTGGAAACAAGTCAGTTCATCAGCTGCTAAATGTTGGCGAGTTGTTGATTATATATGCATGTTATCAAGTACACCCCCTCCTAATTCATAGCTAAATGACATTCTTTTTGCCGTTCAATTTCATAGCTAGAATGACACTCTTTTTGGACGGAGGGTGCATGCTTGATCATTTAATATACTCTCTACATTTCAAATTATAAGTTGTTTTGGCTTTTCGAAATATATAGTTTTTGGTATGCACTTAGATATACACCATGTCTCAGCACATAATAAAAACTATTATGAAAAGTCAAAACGACTTAAAATTTGGAAAGGGGCAGATAATAACTTATAAGAATTATAGATAGTCTACAAAACATACTTTGATTACTGAATTTCTAACAAACATATTTTGGAAGTATTTTCTGACACAAAATAATCTATTGATCATGTAGTCACCTAAAAACATACTCATATATGTGCTTCTATAAATTCGTAAAAAAATATTCATTATTAAGCTAAAAGGGTGTAATTGACCATACATTTTAGGGAAACACTTACTTGGTTTATTACTAGAAATTAATGTAATTCCTCCTCCTCCTCCTCCTCGTACAATGCATACAGTGCTCATCAGAACATTGCATGGAGCTTTGCTCTAGTAACGCTATAGTTTCTCGAATACGCATACTGAAAAGGACATATGAAATGACATAATGTGGCATCATTATTATTCTTTTTGTTAGGCATAAAATTCCTATAGCAAATCTTAGAGCATTTCATGCAGCTGTTAAAGAAAAGCCTTTTGTTATTACATGGCTGAACACACTTAATGGAGATTCCTATCAGTCAAGAAAACACTAAACAACCAAGGAGATGTGTTAAAAATAACCTATCGCAGCTCCCACATGCCTTAATTCGGAAGTATGTTTCTCAGTCACTACGTGTTGCTGGTCAATTTTTAGAAACAACTAGGTTTACTTTTCTGAAAAAGGAGATGCATTAACGTGCATGATGATGAGCGCAAGTGCTAACCTAGGACAGTGCTATTTGTTTGTTGTAAACCGGGACCAAATGGTGGCTGGTGTCTAGTGTTTAGTGTAGTGGTGGTGTGTGTGGCTCCCTACTAGCTGTCTTGGTACTTTATTTCTTATAATATATGTTTGCTTGGCTGATAAGTCATGGTTGAAAATACTGTTGGTTGATTTGTTGTGAGAGAAAAATACTATTCGTTGGCTGAAAAAGTACCGCTTATAAGCCCAGCGAATAGGGCGATCTCATATATCATAGTACAATGCACTCCGACCGCATGCTTTGCTTTGCTTTGGCCCCAATAGCTGTTACATCGTGGTACGGATAATCACTGGACAGCTCGTCGTTCAGGAGATTCATTCATAATCACTACGCTCTTTTATGCACATCTTTTGTTTTGTGACTATATATGATGACCTTGCATTGAGCTATTATCTTTGCATTCTTGTTCATGGTACTCCCTTCAGTCAAAAAAGGATGACTGTTTTTAAATATATGACATTTTTTGCGAAAAATATATGACACTTAGGACAAGATAATTAATTAGTTTAGAGGAGGGATTGGAGTAGTAATAATCAAAATCCTTTAAATTGAAATTAATTCCTTTTTAGTGAAAAATTAGTTTTGAACGCCATCATACTTCATTACCATGTGTAGTATTCGTTCAAAAAGGAATGCAACAAAGGCAACTATGGATACAAACCCGACTCTTCTTTTCTTTTGCCAGGCTTACAATAGGATTCTTGCATAGAGATGTCGCCATCTTACTTTGGAGAACATGCCCGGTGGCACTGGCGGAGCCTGCCTGGGCTCGTTGGCAAAGCGCAAAGGAAAAAAAAATCTTTGTATTCTGGAGAAATATTATATCTTTTTAGGCAAATATTTATGCACAAAAAGAATTATCCTGGCACTTAAAAGTTTCTGGCTCCTCCACTGCCAGGTGGCTAAGGGCACGCACAAGACAGACATGTATAAGCATTAGCTCCAGACTAAGCTAGCTAGGCTCCACGTTTGTAAGAAGAAGAAAAAGAAGAAGAAGAAGAAAGACTACCATTCATCCATACATGCATAATTCCTCATGTCTCATTGCCTTGCGCCTACAGAGGTAGGGAGGCATGCATGCAACACTTTTTCTCTTTTCTCTTTCTCCCAAGGTACCGTTCTCTCTGTCAAAATGCATTCTTGATCGTTTTCCTTTGTTGTGTGTTAGGTATGGGCACTGTACCGTGCCCATCTGTGAGACCATCAAAACCGAGTGACATGGAATCTTGATGCAGAGGTGGAGGTTGGGGCAGCACGCCAACATGGCACGTTGGGGAAGCCCAAGTAGATGCAACAAAGGACAAAGACATGACATGGCATAGATAAGGAAAAGACATGTAGAACAGAACTGTAATTATTCTAGGTGTTTTCCTGTTTGAATGGCACAAACTTGATTATTATTCAAACCAAGGATACACAAAGGTAGATCAAATTGCACACACAAATATACAAGCAAAACTATTTCATCGTGGCAGGAAAACTTTAAACAAGATCAGGTTACAGTACACCTCCTCAAGTTTACAGCATCGAGTAACAGCTTACAAAAGAGACACAGCTACACCTCCTCAAGTTTAGTAAGTTTTTCACACAAGAGTGGAAAAATAAAGCACGAAAGCATGCATGCATGCATGCTCAGGTGTTACTGGTGGTGTATCTAAAAGGAAAAGAAACAAAAACTCAGGTTGCCTCCATGGCATGCCTTATGCCTTTCAAGTTTAAACAAACCATAGGATCTCAAGGAAACACCACATAAGCTTGAGATAATCGGAGTACAGATTCCAGATACAGATGACTTCATGCAGAGTCATGCAGAGAGCATTTCAATTCGGAGGACTGTTATGGCCAATGCTGGGGCTATGACCTGGAGTGGTAGACTCGGTCTGAGTAGCAGTCACCTGCAGAACACTCCTTGGGGTGCATGGAGGATGCACGCTGCTGATAGGTGCCCTCATCACTTCCAGCTTCCTAGCATGAGCTGGCACAGAGAGCTGCACCAAGAAGATAGCACTGAGAAGCAACATGAACACAACAATGATTTTCGACGAAATGGCCATGAAGTTTACAAGGAAAAATATGGTGGTTGCTAGTTTGGAGTGGGATTAGGGGGCTGAGAACTCGGTAGACAAGTTACTTGCAGCTACTCACAGCTAAGACTGCCTCACCTCTTGAGGCAGCTCCCTTCTTTATATACGCAGATTGTAAGTTGTATCACTAATTTAGTTCAAAAGGTGTACTTTAAAAGGAGATGACTAATGGGAGGACCACAGCCAGCCAATTGTTCAGCAATTGGATACCAGTACCTTTTCTTTTTTTACAAATCCTACGCCAGGGGAACACCTTTTCCTAATACGGTTTTATTCTAAGAAATATATCTAAGCTTCACCTGCCTGAATACATACTTTATACAGTGATATTTATAATATAAAATAAAAACTGCTGGAATATGCCTCTATTATGGGTGAACCGAGTGACATCCTGACAGGTAAGCTTTCATGTAAGTTCATTTATAGTTTTTTTCCGCCGACATTAATCAATCAACCAAACTAGCAGTTCTAAAAAAGTTACCAAGGAAAGGATTACCGAGGACTGAGGACACAGTTTTGGATAATCTGTTTACATGATAATCGGTTATTTTACATGATAATCGGTTATTCTACTGAAACATCTGCTCACCACACTAGCTGAACCACTTGTACTAAAATTAGAAGTAACAACCCATGGTCCACATTTTGTCTGCACCAATTTGCAAGAGCTAATATATCATGGAAGTCTCATTGAAGTATGCAAGTTGCAAAATGAAGCATGCACCTATGCAAGTTGCAAACTAGAAATACAAAGTGTAACACTTTCATGCTGATAAAATTGTACTAAAACTAGCAAATACTACCGTCCACATTTTGGCAGCACAAAGTTAATAAGGATAAGGACTAAATATGTATCATCGAAGCCAAATTAGGGATGCAAGTTGGAAACTTTAAGTATCAATATCTTCCATGTTCCCATTAAATTCAGACCATGACCTATCAGAACTTATCAGGACAATGGGTGGACGAAGCAAAAGCAAGTTGGGGCTTCTAGTTTTGTTGCTCCTCACTGCATATGGAAAAGTGTACGCAGTAGCTAATGTTCAAAGCTAAAAACAACTATATGCAAGGCATTGCGCCACCAGAAACTGTCCCATCGCTGTGGGAGGATATTTTTCTAGGATTCCTGGAACTTTGATTTTGATTTGGAAAGGCACTTCAAAGTCTTTTTTTGTTTTGGAACATTGCCTCCCATTGGTTGGCTAGAACTCATCAATATAATTTATTTGAGGTTGTGCGAAGGGTAAGGAAGCTAGTCGAACCAACTAGGATCTGTCTAGGTAGTTGGAATGTAGGGTCGCTTACAGGTAAGTTAAGAGAATTAGTTGATACCGCGACTAGGAGGCGTGTAAATATATTATGCGTTCAAGAGACTAAATGGAAGGGTCAGAAGGCGAAGGAGGTGGACAATACAGGTTTCAAGCTTTGGTACACAGGGATAGTCGCGAATAGAAATGGAGTAGGAGTTTTGATTGATAAGAGCCTAAGAATGGTGTGGTGGGAGTGAGAAGGCAAGGAGATAAGATTATCTTAGTCAAGCTTGTCGTTGGTGATATGGTCTTGAACGTAATTAGTGCGTATGCCTCCAAGTAGGCCTCGACGAGAGTGCTAAGAGACAGTTCTGGGAAGACTTAGATGGCCTGATTAGAGCTGTACCTAGTAGTGAAAAGCTTTTTATAGGAGGAGATCTTAATGCGCATGTAGGTACTACAAGCGTAGGTTTCGAGGCAGTTTATGGAGGTTTTGGGTATGATAGTAGGAATCAGGAGGAGGGAGTTCTGGACTTCGCGGTAGCTTTTGACCTGATGATAACCAACAGTTTCTTTAGAAAGAGAGAATCTCACCTAGTGACCTTCAGTAGCGGACAACACTCTAGCCAGATTAACTTTGTCCTCGCAAGAAGAAAGGACAAACGAGCATGCTTGGGTTGCAAGGTGATACCAGAGGAGTGTGTTGTTTCTCAACATAAGCTTTTGGTGGCAGACTTTCGTTTTCAGGTGCGTGCCCGTAGGGATAAACAAGCTAAGATTGAAAGAACAAAGTGGTGAAAACTGAAAGGGGAGACGTCAGAGGTATTTAGGAAAAGGGTTATCAAAGATGTCTCTTAAAAGGAAGAAGCCGACATGAACAACATGTGGAAGAAGATGACAACCAACATTCGGAAGGTGGCCTCAGAGGTGTGTGGAGTAACCAAAGGAAGTGGAGACGAGGCTAAAGATACTTGGTGGTGGAACGAGGAAGTCCAAAGGGCTATTAAGGAGAAGAAAGAATGTTATGGACGCTTGTACCATGACAGGAGTGTGGACAACATAGAGAAGTACAAGGTGGCAAAGAAGACTGCAAAGAGAGCTGTAAGTGTGGCAAATGGTAGAGCGTACAAGGATCTTTACCAACATTTGAGTACGAAGAAAGAGGAGAAGGACATTTATAGGATGGCTACGGTTCGTGAGAGAAAGACAAGGGACTTCAACCAAGATAAGTGCATTAAAAATGAAAGGGAGCATCTCTTGGTGAAGGAAGATGAGATCCGATATCGATGGCAAGAGTATTTTGATAAATTGTTCAATGGTGAGAATACGGACGCAACTTTTCAGTTGGATGACTCTTTTGATGACACCAATAGACGCTTTGTGCGGAGAATCCAAGAATCTGAGGTTAGAGAGGCGTTGAAAATGATAAAAGGAAGTAAGGCGATGGGACCGGATGGTATCCCAATCGAGGTGTGGAGATGTCTCGGGGACATAGCTATAGTATGGCTAACCAAGCTGTTCAACCATATTTTTCGATCGAATAAGATGCCCGACGAGTGGAGGAGAAGTATATTGGTACCGATCTACAAGAATAAAGGAGATATTCAAAGTTGTACTAATTACCGAAAAATTAAGTTGATGAGCCATACTATGAAGCTATGGGAGAGTTATCGAGCATCGCTTGAGAGCAATAACGCGAGTCTTTATGAATCAATTTGGTTTTATGCCCGAAAGGTCAACCATGGAAGCCATTTTCTTAATAAGACAAGTTATGGAGCGGTATAGGGAGAAGAAGAAGGACCTACACATGGTTTTTATTGACTTGGAAAAGGCTTATGATAAAATACCAATGAATGTTATATGGTGGGTTTTGGACAAACATAAAGTCCCAACAAAGTACGTCGGTGTTGACACGATTTTTGGCTCACTTATATTATGTGCAATATTTGCTTTAAATAAATATAAATGATATATATATATATATCATTATATATATGGCCTAATTCCATAATAAGAGAAATAATATTGGCTATGAAAGCTAGTGCATGCAAGAGCGCACGACAAGCAAAGGTGTGTGCTCGTGTATTTCATTTGTGTAAATCAAATACCATGTACTCATGTGAATACGTGGCCGGCTGGCAAATCATCCGAATAGCACATATGAAAATAAAATACTTTGTTGATTGACTAAAATAATCACTCATCTTCAATGTCAAAACATGATGTGGTGATTAGTAGAAAATTAAGAAGAAGAAAAGAAAGCTAGAATAAAGAAAGAAGGACATATACGCATATATGCATGAGCATGACTATACCTTGGCAAAGTATAGTGACAAAAGCACGGGTATTACATGTCATATTAAAAAACGTTCGGCCATAAATACATACACGCTTCCATACGCATGGATTAAAAAAAAAGAGACCATACAAGTACGTACGTACGCGTGTGTACATACATAGCAAGCGTATAGCACGTATGTGCACGCCTAACGCCGAAAAAAAAAAAACTCTGTCGCTACCGCCCATTCAAACGCGATCAAAAAGACGGCCACGTCATCGTCGGTCGCTGCCATGACCGAGTCCGCGACGGTTGCATGATCGGCGGCGCTCGGCAATTTAAACAAGGCGTCCGCGCGCGCATAATTAAATGGAAAAGAGCGCCAAGTCTAATAACTGCTGGTTGCTTGTCTATAAATAGCAGGCTAGTGCAAACATTCAAGCCCCCAGCACATATATCGCTGGTTCCACGAGTCACAGTGCCGCCAGGCTGCTCCCCACACATACACACATACATTCCGTCCTTGATCGTGAGTAGCAAGCACCAGACTATTACGTGCTCTCTCCCACACATACACCGCTCCTTCATCGAGAAGAAGCAAGTTGCGTTGCTCTTCCATATACATACACATACACCTGCTCCTTGATCGGAGAGAAGCGAGCACCGGGCTATTCTTTGCTTTGTCCGAGGTCCTGAAGAAGGTGAGGCCGCATGGCGCTTCTCGATCCTACCCCCCTCCCATCCTGCTTCTCATCTCCGCCGCTTCATCCACGGCGTCTTCATCGGCAACTCCGTCGGCGAGCCTTGCGTCCTCTATTCGGTATAAACAGGGCCGGAGGACGGTGCTCATGCATATGGGCATCATGCCTTGGTAAAGGTATAAGGGCCAAATGGCCACGCTATGCGCATGGGTTGCAAGCCCCGGTGAAAGGTCGGCCAATAGTGCCACGACCACGCTATGCGCATGGGCATCGTGCCCCCCGGTAAAGGTGTGAAAGGCCAGCAAAATATGGCTCGGTGAAATTTGGGTCGACGCTACCGTGGCTCCACCCCGTTACGTTCATGGTGAAAATTCGGTTGGGCGCGATCTTGGCTCCAACCCGGTTAAAGGTTCATGGTACAAAATTGTTGGACGCGCTCCACCCGTTCATGGTAAATTCGGTTTGGACGCGCTTTGGCTCCATTCGTCGGTTGAAATTCATACTAAAATGGTGGGCGCGTTTTGGCTCCACCCGGTTGAAAATCATGGTACAAAAATGGATGGACGCAAATTGGCTCCACCCCAAATAAGTCTGTGTTGATCACGGACACGCTTTTTGCCGGCCTACACCGCATTCATACGGTTCATAACTTTGCATGCTATAATCACCAAGGTCTTGCATGCCAAAAGATAAAGTCTTAATTAAAACCGATAGACAAAATAGCGGTGTTGTCTTGCATCT